CTGTACTTTGCTAAGCATGCATAATGCTGTCTAGATTCCCAGGAATATCTCAATGCTTTTCACCCTAATGGACATCTTTCTCCAGTTTTTCTTTTCAAGGTTTTTGGTTAGTTTCTTATTAGCCCCAACCTGTACTGCTGCCTCAGGCACTGCAGTGTTAAACAGTTGCCAATGTTTTTTTTTGTTTTTTTTTTTTAACCAGTGCCTTGGAGATAGGGCTGTTCAGACAGAGCAGATTCTGATTCAGGTCAAATACAACAATCCCTGAGATCAGAGCTTTTAACTTATCTGCAAGATTGTTCAAATAGTGACATTTCTCTGTGGCTGTTGCTGTTGGAGAGCTCCAAACCCATCATGTCCTCTCCAGTGATGTCTAGGCTACTGGTTTTCATAGCTACTATAGTTGTGAAGGTGTTTGTTTGCAAATCTGCTGCAAAACTGGGATTAAGGGGATGGCATTAGGGAAGTTAAAATGACTTTGCTGTTCTTTCTGAGGTTCAACCATTTTTTTCTTGAATAAATTCTTTTTCGATTGCTGTAATCCTTTATTTACTATTCAGAGTTTTGAAAAAGTTGATTTTGCCAGTGTTTTTATTATTTTTATAAAGGAGTGGATTTTCAGAAATCTTCAATTAGTCCCCCTGGAAATGCCTCTTTATGACAGTGATGGCGAACCTTTTGAGCTCAACGTGTCAAAATTTTGAAAAACACTAACTTAATTCTGGTGCCGTGTCACATATAGAAATATTCATAATTTTTTTGATATTTGCAACCATAGTAAAATAAGATTTATATTTTTTCTTTTTCTATAGATATTTATATGCCATTTAACAAAGAAAAATAAACCAAAAAATGGGTTCGTGTGTCACCTCTGGCACGTGTGTCATAGGTTCGCCATCACTGCCCTAGTACATAAACAAAGAGAAATTTAAGCGGGCTGACTCCCTCCTTGATGGAGAGCAAAAGACTCTGAGAAAAATAGCTCTCAGCAGCTAGAGACTTTTGCAGTTTGTCACAGCGTTCAGCCTTACTATACACAATTAGGCTTCCCCTAAAGCAGGGTTCGCCCTATCTTTAAACAAATTAAACAACAGGAAGAGATAACAAATACTCTCGTGTGTACAGCCAGATGGCACAAAGTAGCTTTCACTTCGCACAGACTCTTACACATTTGTACACCAGACAATCTGAGTTTTTGACTTCTACCAGATATTTACTCAGAGTTTAAACAGTCCACCTGATTCCTGATTAATTGCCCGAGGAAGCCATATGGCTTCTGGGGAGGTGCTCAAGCTCCCCCTT